ATGGAGGAACAGTTGGAACCACGTGGAATTAAATTTCCACAATGCGGAGAATTGCATAATCGCTACCGAGAAAACGGTGTTACGGAAGCTTCCGTGAACCGAATCGCACGGATAATGGCTCGATCCGGACACAAAATGGCTGCCCGCTCGCAAAGTCCATGATTACACCTCCGTCACGAAGGATTCTCGCACGGGATCGGTGATATAACTAGCCTACACGTCGCGTTAACACGTTTCACTCGGCGCGGATTTTTGTCCGCTCGATAAGTCATCGCGTAATTATATCAGGCTTCTTACAGACGCATTTTTTCTTTCATTTTTACTCGCTCTCATTATCAGTTACAAGCGTTTAATGTGCTGTTAATATGTTTTATCGCGCGGAATTAAGTTTGTTTTTGTTAGGGGTTTCTTTCAATCATTTCAACAGGAAAAAATTATTTGTGATATTTAGGGGAACATAGGGGGTATTTGGGCCTTGGTCAGTGCTGTACGATCAACGATGTAGTATTGGGACCTAAGAACGATATTTCATTTGGATTTGGAATCTTGATTTTCATATTTTTCGTAGACAAAAAATAATTTGGAATATTTACGGGAGTATTGAGTTTTGGGCCTTGGTCAGTGCTGTACGATCAACGATGTAGTATTAGGCCCGAAGAACGATGTTTTATTTGGATTTGGAATCTTTATTTTCACATATTTCGTAGATCAAATATATTTTGCGATATTTAGGGTAGTATAGAGTTTTGGGCCTTGGTCAGTGCTGTACGATCAACGATGTAGTATTAGGCCCGAAGAACGATGTTTCATTTGGATTTGGAATCTTTATTTTCACATATTTCGTAGATCAAATATATTTTGCGATATTTAGGGGAGTATGGAGTTTTGGGCCTTGATCAGTGCCGTACGATCAGCGGTAATATTGGGCCCTGGAAGCTAAATATATTCTTTTTGGGTTTGGGATTTTATTTATTTTCATATCTTTCGTAGATAAAAAATAATTTAGAATATTTACGAGAATATAGAGATTTGGGCCTTTGTCAGTGCCATTTTGGTGCCATTTTGGTGCCATTTTGGTACCATTGCTTAATAACTTAATTTCTAAGCATACTACACACTCGAGATCAATCACAAATGACCAGAAATACCGACAATGAGCAGATGGACCAATGTATCCTCATAGTTCGAACGTTTTGAATAGAGAAATCGATGATCGGAACGAGTCGATCGGGCTGAGCGGAATTTTCAGGCCTGTTTCACGACTGGTTCGCGACTCGCGACTATTTTCGGGGATCTTATTCCTGTCAGGAGGGACGGCCATTTTCCCTCTCGTTCCTCGTCGTCGTTTTCGTCCTCTCCCAGTCTCTTGTTCCGACACGACGTCCCGAAAGGGCCGCTGCTCAGCGATCTCAGCGAGTGAAAGCCCGCGCAACCTTGATTCCATGACAAAGGTTGCGGTTGCCGTTGTCTCGATCGCAATCGATTTCTCCGGGCTTCTTCTCGTGAATCCTGAGATATAACAAACTGATGATCCGGGAGGTACTAATCGAGATCGCGTTTCACGAACGTCATCCAGGCATCATTAGGAACGATTCTGCATGCGTCAATGCAAATAAATTGCAATTGTTTATTGTGCATATTTTTAGAACTATTTTCTTCGTCTCTGACACGTTACAGATATGATCTAATACCCAGTCATTTCTATTCCATGATTTTAATCGTCATTATGAAGCGTTTTATTTCATCACGAGGGACCCCATACGTGTGCTGAAAATGTACGAATGTGTGGAATTTTTTTACAAGAAGGTTTTTACTCGATCATTTTGAAAATTTGGTAATATTATTAAATAGCTATAAAATTACGAAAAAATTTTTTTTATATTTTAAAAAAGTTCAGAATGATCAGAAAAAATCAGACGAGAGCTGTGGGACCTTTTATATTCGATTAAAATAGAAATACAATAAATTTTCTTGCCTTTTATGAAAATCCTATGTCGATAAAGCTGTAGAAATATGAGGAAGTTGAAAATTAGTAAAACGACGCCATTTTGAAAATACGTCGACTTTTTCTTAAAAATTTTCTTTAAAATAGTTTATTTATGTATAAAATTATAGTTATTTATTTTGTTTATTTTATATATTCATTTACGAGTAAATATATATTGCAGTATATATACCATAAATTTCGAGCAATTTGGTTACTTGGTTTACCCGCCATATTTTTCGAATGTATGGAGCAGTGTCAGAGTAAATAAAATTATTATTTTAAAGTTATTCCCCATTTTCGCCATTTTTATCACAGCACCTAAATTATCAATCTTTCACGAAAGATAGTCATCATAAATCTCCCGAAGTTCATAAGCAAATCCAGAAGCATCTTTTCCCGTAACGAATAACAAATCTTGTTGATCCAAAACAAAGTTAACAATCTCTGCGATATTATCTTTTCAAACACACGCTTCCGTCATCACGCGTTTCGCAGACAGCTGATATCTATGGATATTATAATTAACACTAACCGTTCGAAAGTCACATAAATGACTTGCCCTAATTGTTCTTAAAAACTACCCTCACCCCTTCCATCGCTGAAGATATCGCGGACCCATCGATCGACTGACTTCGTCCTGTCCATTCACTTTCTCTCGCTTTCTCTTCTATGGCGCATTTTTGATTAGGGCCCTGAAATGCAAATGATACCATAATTATAATTTTTAAAAAGGGAGAAATGTCGTATACTGGCTATTCCATGTGATCTTGTCGCAGTAACAGATTTGGAAATTATTCACGACACTGACGGAAGCAGTAAAATCGGCACCCGATCTTCCAAAAATCGGGAAAAAATTCGCGATTTAATTAATAATTCTGATATTCTCCTTCGGGATGAGAGATGTCAATATTAATTATAATACTAAGAAAAACGGAGAAAGATATACATTGGTTACTCTAAATGATCGGGAAAAAATTCGCGATATAATTAATAATTAATAATTCTGACATTCTTTTTCCAAAAATCGGGAAAAAATTCGCGATTTAATTAATAATTCTGATATTCTCCTTCGGGATGAGAGATGTCAATATTAATTATAATACTAAGAAAAACGGAGAAAGATATACATTGGTTACTCTAAATGATCGGGAAAAAATTCGCGATATAATTAATAATTAATAATTCTGACATTCTTTTTCCAAAAATCGGGAAAAAATTCGCGATTTAATTAATAATTCTGATATTCTCCTTCGGGATGAGAGATGTCAATATTAATTATAATACTAAGAAAAACGGAGAAAGATATACATTGGTTACTCTAAATGATCTTCGAAAAATTCGCGATATAATTAATAATTAATAATTCTGACATTCTTTTTCCAAAAATCGGGAAAAAATTCGCGATTTAATTAATAATTCTGGCATTCCGCTTCGGGATGAAACATGTCAATACTAATTATAATAAAAAGAAAAATTGAGAAAGATATACATTTGCTACTCTAAACGATCCTGTCGCAGTAATAAATTTGCAAATTATTCGCGACATTAACTGTAGCGGTAGAGTCGACAGCCGATCTTCCAAAAATTCGCGATTTAATTAATAATTCTGGCATTCCACCTCGAGATGAAAAATACCAATACCAATTATAATTTAAAAAAAGGGAAAAAGATGTACATTGACTACTCTAAACGATCCTGTCGCAGTAATAAATTTGCATATTATTCGCGACACTGACGAAAGCAGTAAAATCGGTAGCCGATTTTCTGGGAAATCGGGCAAAAATTTGCGATTTAATTAATAATTCTGACTTCGAGATGAAAGATGTCAATACTAATTGTAATGAAAAAAAAAGAAAAAAAAAACGGAGAAAGATATTCATTGACTACTCTAAATGATCCTGTCGCAGTAATAAATTTGCAAATTATTCGCGACATTGACTGTGGCGGTAGAGTCGACAGCCGATCTTCCAAAAATTCGCGATTTAATTAATAATTCTGTCATTCCACCTCGAGATGAAAAATACCAATACCAATTATAATTTAAAAAAGGGAAAAAGATGTACATTGACTACTCTAAACGATCCTGTCGCAGTAATAAATTTGCAAATTATTCGCGATACTGACGGAAGCTTCGGAATCGGGTGCCAATCTTCCGGAAAATGGAGCAAAGAATTCGCGACTGAATTAATAATTCAGGCACGAGAGATTAATAATTCAGGCATCGCGTGCCGACTGATGAAGCGAAACGGCAAGGCAGTATCCTCGTAAATCGTGTACATCGCGCCTCACACGAGCACGCGCCTCAAGGATTCGTATTATGCGGTAGCCGGATGACCGAATCGCAGAGGAATGCGCATTTCGCGATGAAGAAGGTGAAATTTCTACTGGCCGGTAAATCATTCGAGGCTTGTTTGCTTCGCGTGTTTTTTGAAAAGCACGAAAACCGGCGGTGCACCGATGGTATCGGTTGAAAAATCGCGATCGAGTCCGCCGATCCGCCATGAGAACGCGAATAGTCGATACGCGTGCCTGCTAATCTGGATCGATAATGATGATCGGTCGAATGATAATCCCGCGGATATACTAACCTCTCGATCGATAGCGCGACTCGCGAGCGTGGACGAATTGCGAAGGAAATAATTCATGGATCCGATATTTTTCTCGATCGTCGAACAGTCGCGATCGCGTTTTGCCCAGTCAGCTGTTTCGCTATCAGATAACGCGGCCAGACGAGACTAAGTCTCGTGAATCCGACGTAATTCCTTTCAAAATATTATATTAAACACCTGTTTTCTTCCCTCTCTGATTTTCTCCATCGGTTCTTTTCGTTTTTTCTCGGGATTTTTGGTTTGCGGCAATCTAGGGATTTTCGTTGGACTTTTGGAGGTTTGTTAATGAAATTCAGATGAGTTTGTCTTGATTCCTTTCAGGATATTGTATTAAATAGCTATTTTCTTTTATTTTTGTATTTTTATTTTTTTTCTGCTGGTACTTTTAGTCTTTTTGGGGGATTTTAGGTTTGGGGTATTCTAGGTGTTTTCTTTGGATTTTTGCTTTGAGGTATTCTAGGGTCTTCCTTTGTCTTTTTGGTTTGGGGTATTCTAGGGTTTTCCTTCGGATTTTTAGTCTGGAGTGTTCTAGGGTTTTTCTTTGTATTTTTGGTTTGGGGTATTCTAGGGTTTTCCTTCGGATTTTTAGTCTGGAGTGTTCTAGGGTTTTTCTTTGTATTTTTGGTTTGGGCTATTCTAGGGTTTTCCTTCGGATTTTTGCTTTCAGGTATTCTAGGGTCTTCCTTCGTCTTTTTGGTTTGGGGTATTCTAGGGTTTTCCTTTGGATTTTTAGTTTGGAATGTTCTAGGGCTTTTCTTTGTATTTTTGGTTTGAGGTATTTTAGGGTTTTTCTTCGGATTTTTGCTTTGGGCTATTCTAGTGTTTCTCTTTGGACCTTTGGAAGTTTGTTAATGAGATTGAGATATGTCTGTCATGGTTTTTTTCAGAATATTATATTAAACAACTGTTTTCTTTTCATTTTGTGTTTTTTCAACCGGTTCTCTTCGTCTTTTCTTTCGAGTTTTACTTTTGGGTAATCTAGGGACATTGTTTGGATTTTCAGAGGTTCGTTAACGAGATCGACGTATTTCTGTTTAATTTGGAATAGAAATGCGATTAGGGTGGATATAAACAGGTGTCAAAATGTTGCTAAATTTGTCCTGATATTTTTCCAAATATCAAAAACCTGTATTTTCCATCGAAATTACTTCTCGCCCAAATTTCAATACACCCAATACCTAAGAAAATCCTCCATTTTGCCAATAAGTCCCAAAACGTTGCTCGAACCGGGCATTTCCATACGAACGATAAACGGTATCCTAAAATAGTGAAAATCGATTTTTTCCCATGGCGAAAAACCTTCACGCGGAAGGTAAGATCGACTGGATCTCGATACCGGTTGGCGATGCTTCGGACTCGATCGTAGGGTACGATCAAGATCGGCGAGGCAAGGTTTTCCGCGCGAAAAATAAAAGACGAAGTCAGGCATGCGAGAGCGCAACTAGGTGTCCTTCGTCCTGATCCAATCGCCAGGGCCGTCGATTTTTTCCGTCTGGCCCGAACTTGATCATAATTTACGCCGGCCATCGCCGATAATTCGCGTCCCATGGATCCCAGCGATCGTTTACGACCGGCTTGTTCTCGCTCCATCGATTTACGCACGGATTATAGCCGTATATTACGTTAGCCTTCGCCATTTTTCCCCCATCTATCCGCGTTATTGGCAATATTTTCGACGACACAGTCCTCTGCCGGTGATCCATCTCTCGAACTAGGATCACGCCGTTGCGAAAGCTTTCGTGGCTCGTTATAGCACTCGCACGATTGATACAGCGGTAGAGGAAGAGCGGGAACAGCAGGGTACTCCATATTCAGACTGAATCCGCCATTCAAGGCTAGGCCTCGCCAAGGTTAATCGCCGTGGCTACTCAACGACTGCTTTGAAGCCTATCATCGCGAGTACGTTCATCGCGATAAATTAAAGAATCTCCTGCACCTGACAAGGACTTTTCCTTTCCACTCAGACCTGGCACGCAGCTCTCTCTTCCTCCCACAGTTGCTCGGCTCTCGCTCCAGCCTGCGCCTAACCTGTCTATCCAATCTTTGGCAAAGGATCCTGCTGCCCGCGAGCCAGTCGATCGCTCGAGAAATTTCTCGAACACGTCGTACCCGTGTTCGTGTAAATTCCAGGGAACAAGAGCAAGTTCGGAACACGATTCGTACCTTTCTTCTTATCGAAATCCACCAAGCATACGAATTTCACTTGAGCAATTCCAGCGGTGTGCAGGAATTCAAGATCCAGGTACAACTTCGTTAATCAGAGCTAATGCGGAGTCAGAGATCACGACAGACTAGTTTGTTAAACATCTTAATCATCCTGTCGCTATTTCTGCACTGCGAATACGTTTAATTCCCATTTGCATTACGCCGCGCTATTATTTTCCAATCGAAGGCTTATGCTACACCTGGTGTCGTTACTACGTTTTAACCTGCCCCGCGGAGCAGGAGTCATCATCTTCTACTAGCATATATTACATAATATGTGCTAGTATTGTGTCCAGTATATGAACCTCGCCAAAATTCCTGCGAAAATCGAGTAGTGTTAATGAAATAGGAATTAAGTGCTGTCTAATGACATTCCGAATGCCACGACTGCTCGTGATGACAGCGTGATTAGATCAGGACCAAGTTCACCTGGACCATTTAGTACCCGGACCCTGTTCTTTCAAACGTCACTGACCAAGAGTCGTTTCTAGAGCTCAGGAAAATAGACCAATAGCTACAGACTTCGCTCTTTAGTACCTGGACCCGTTCTTTCGAACCATTCTGTTTATTCCGACCCGATGAGCGAGATAACTACGAGCCAGGAGTGCGATAACTAAGCAAGAGTCGTTCCTGGAGCTGAAGAAAATAGAGCAATAGCTGCTGACCACTTGGCTGATATGGGCCATGGAGACCAACGGTTGGATCTCGGATCCTGCCAGACCTGAAGTGGCCTAAGAGAAGTACGCCAATATCGGCGTACTCCTTTGGCTGACACCAGGGTCAAGTGTGGGGTTGACTCCCACGTTGCTTGGACCAAGTCTGTTGCAATGGCAGATGAGAATAATCGCGTGCAACACTTGTCATTATGCCTAAAGCCGAGGGATGACAGAAGATACCCAAAGCAGTATACAGTATCACAGAATAGACACAGTAATTGACCACTTGGCTGATCACACAGTCGTTAATCGTTTGAGTCCCAAGCAAGGATTCCTCTTCAGTCGAAGTGGCGCGCTCACTTTGCTGATGCACCTACGTCACATAGCACCGATAAGCGCTATTGCGACGATTGGGATTTTTCGACATAAAATTAAACAACCGTTTGGACTTCTTCGTACTCGATTAAGGCAAGCGTCATCACGCTCTTTTTCCAAAAGCCTCTGGGATTCAAACGGTTAAGGCAAACATTGGTACTGTAGCGACCATCATTCTCACCCTCGCCAACAGATGGATTCCTAGCTGAAGGAGGTTAGAGGACTTTCTCGCAAGTCCATGGAAAAGTCCTCCGCTTCCTGTACGTACAATTTCCAAACTTTCCAATAGTATCCCGGTCCAAGGCAGGGCCTGCTAGGGAAGGCAAACACTTCAATGTTGGATCCATCGATCTCGTAGCCTAAGTTGTCATGTATAACCCTTTCATATCTTTCATATCTTTGTAAACAATTCCTGGCACAATAAACGTATGTTTTAAAAAGAGAAAAGGGGCCTGCTAGGGTAGCTTTACTGATGAGTCCATTAGCAGGCCCAGGACGCATCCCTTCGTCCCTTCTAGTACCATCGTCACACGAGGGTACCTTCGACATGAACGACCATGAGGCGAGGACCTGCACAGTACCTCGTCTGTTTGAATGTCCTATAATAGGACCTGTACATTCGAAGACATGACCTGAACCTAACCTAGTAAAGAGGTTAAATGCAATAAAAAGAAAAGTTCAAATGGACTGCGGTGGTTCATCAGAGTCACGAAATAGCTGCTATACCTAGACCCGACTCTGGCTTCCAAATTAAGCAAGATGGAGGTATAAGGCACTATCAGGGAACAACGTTTCGGAGACGTGTGGACGCAAACAGGAAGCGAGGCAGCAACGGTGCCAGACACGAGAACGCGGCCTTGCGAGTGGACTTGCAGCTCGTGTCACGTGCGGAATATGAGCAAGCATGCGAGCTGGTTGCCGTAGGTCGGCGACGAACGGCCATCATCGCGAAAGATTCATTCGCTGGCCGTCGAAGAACGCGGATCAGCAGGCGGAGGCCACCGCCGTGGCAAATTCATTTCCAGGCCTATTTATACGTGAGAGGCGGCCGTGTAACCGGCCGTCGCATAATACCCGCCGTTGTATAACGATCACGTTTTTTACCCGCCGCGGATCAGCCGTCGATCGAACTCAGCCTCTCTTTCCAACGGATGTTTAAAATAGATGTCGGCATCGCGGGGTATTTAGGGTTTTGCTGACTCCAGACTGGCTGCTCCAGAGTCCGAGTATGTGGACGAGGAGGAAAAGCTGTGGAATTTTGGACATCTACACTTGGATCAAAGGTATCTCGAACTTTAAGACTCGACTATGATACGTTAGCTACCTTCTATCTGAGAACAAAGAAGCTAACAGACTAAACACTTATCCGAATTTTATACAACTCTATTCCACTTGGTCCAAACAGATCCCAAGTGTCAAGATTCGACTATGATACGTTAGCTACCTTCTATCAGAGAACAAAGGAGCTAACAGATTAACACGTTGAGTGCTACGTCAGTCCCTAGGGACTGACAGTAGACTTTTAGTTTGGACAGTGTGGATTCTAGGGTCTGACAGCGAACTTTTAGATGCGTGAGACTGGCATTGTCGAGGGTTAAATTATTGATGACAATTAATATATCGTAGAAACTAAATTTCCTCTGCTGAAGTAAGTCTTTACACTTCCGTGGCTTTTTCTGACTGATCGTCTCTTGGTGATCGCCTTTTGCCTTTCTGGCATTCCCCAGTCCATTGTCTTCTGCTTATAATTTGTATATTTGCGCATTGGCTACACCATTTTCACAGTCCAAACGACAACGTGAAACAAAGTAATCTTCTGTTCATACTCTTCGTTATACTTGAGCGCTAGGCACCTAGTGCTCACTCGCTGCTGCCTAGTATCAGGAAAGTATAGCAAAATCCGTGCCGCACTCAACGTGATAAACACTTATCCAAGCTCCATATAACCCTGGTCCACTTGGCCCAAACAGACCCTAAATCACAAGATTGGACTATGATACGTTAGCTACCTTCTATCAGAGAACAAGGAATCTAACAGATTAAACACTTATCCAAGCTCCATAAAACCCTGGTCCACTTGGCCCAAACAGACCCCGAATCACAAGATTGGACTATGATACGTTAGCTACCCTCTATCAGAGAACAAAGAAACCAACTGATTAAACACTTATCCAAACTTTATACAACTCTATTCCACTTGGTCCAAACAGATCCCAAGTGTCAAGATTGGACTATGATACTGTTGGGAAATTCGTGGAGGAAATAGCCAAACGCACAGGGAGATAACTGTATTCAGTTGTATAGCAATCTTTAGGTTTATTATGCGATATAAAATTAAAGCGTATGTCTTTTTGAATACCACTATGGGTCACAATGTATGAACTAGCCGTTCTGTTTCTAACTTGGGACTGAAGAGCTCTGAGAGACGGCAGGCCCTTTTAAACCCTCAAAACCGACCCCTTGAAGTCCAAAGGTCGGTAATGCCCTGCAACTTTCGACAGGCATGTCGTCATCGTTGCATGGGCGTAGCTGACTTCCAACAGATACATTAGCTACCTTCGACCAGAGAACAAAGAAGCCAGCAGTTTAAACACATAATTTCCAAGTGTGCAGTCGAAAGATCCAACGTCTATACAATTCTACCCAAATCACAATACTCGTCTATGATCCATCGACTTCCTTTAATCAGGAAACAGAGAATCCAACATATTAAACGCTTAATTTCCAAATATACAATCCAAAGATCCTACCTCTGTACAAGTGCATTCAAATCACAAGGCTCATCTATGGTCCATCGATTTCCTTCAATCAGAAAACTGTGAAGCCAACATACATTACATACAACATTCATATACATTTCATAATTCTATGAAAAACCAACATACGTTTTAAAACAAATTATTTAAATTTTTCTATATATATATTTAACAATAAAATCGTAAATGAGTCAAATTGACTCGCTCCAGCAATCTAGTGTTAAACACTTATCCAATCTCTA